TTGTATTTCATAAACAACAAAAATGCAGGTTTTATAAATTGCCCCATGAAAAAAGCTGCATAGACAGTATCAGGCTGGTTGACCATTTCTTAGCTATGCTCTAACACTTCTGTTTACCATTCTATTGTATCCTTTTGACAAATACTGCCATACTGTTCAAAGATTTTAACCAATAAAGAACGAAATAGACTATGTTCCCCGTGGGTTTACAGTTCTAATCCTATTACACAGAAAACTCTTGAACAGCCTTCAAAAGCGTAAAAAGAGGCTCTATGCTCTTGGAGGGAAGTAGAGGTCTTAAACGTCCGATGGTAAACTTAATCAACTACCAAATAATCCCAAAACAAGAATGTGACCATGTCCACTCCTCACCTCACCTCAAAATTCCATGGTGGCTCTAGGGTATAATACAGAGTCCTCAGACTAAAGTCTCCCACAATCTGTTTCTCATTCACTTTTCTAGTCTCATGAAGACTTTTTATCAGTCCTATTGTGAGAGATTGTTAACCCACAAAATTACTCGATATTGCTTTGTGTATACTTAGTATTTACAGGAGCCTGTGACAGGTTCTGTTTTGTCTGTATTACCAATGCAGCGCCCTGCTCTAGAAGGAGCTTAATAAATGCTCATTGGATTGGATTGAATTTTATCAAGTCTCAGGAGGCCATACCTACATAATGGTACTAGGCCAGATTCATCTGAAAGAGCTTTTCTACTTTTGACACTTACACATGGATAATCTATACCAGGGGTTCTTGGGAGTGGGGTGAGGGGCAGATGGGTAAATGAACTTGGTTGTTTTTTAAATCTGGATAAATGTATTTCAATATAATTGGTTTCTTTTGTAATCCTATGTATTTTATGTATTTAAAAACATTGTTCTGAGAAAGGGTCCATAGGCTTCACCAGACTGCCAAAGGGGTTCATGATATAAAAGGTTAAAAGGTAGTCATTGTGCCTAACAATTCATTTTTCACCTCGCTGCTGTGGAGCCTGGTTGCTCGGAGGCTGCCACACAGGTTTCCTCTTGATTTGGGTCAGAGCCATCCTGTGCACCAGGGAGGAGGCTGAGAACTACCCCACTGAGAATTATCCCCACAAGTGATTCAGGGTTCACTGCAGGAAGTCCCAAAGGGCTCTGGGGGCAACTTTTCACTCCCTCACTTCAGTTTTCTTTGGTCTTCAGTTAGGGCAGTTCTGACCACCCGGGCATCATCACAGAGATGGCCTCAAGTCTTCTTGTGGGTGGCCACACAATGCCTGTGTCCATTACACTTCCAACCTGAATGCTGGGGTGCTCCTACGATGCCACAGGCATTCATGGTCCAGCTCAGAATACCCAGGAGACAAAATATGCCCCTGGGTGACAAAATATGTGGAATTTTCTGGCCTGTACCAAGCTGGAGTTTAAAAGAGGGCCCCTGTAGCTACTGCTCACATAGATAGATCCCTTTGAACATTTCCTTGTATTTAAAAGATAAAAAGAGATTATTGTACAAACCCCCAAAGTACACAATGATTATTTTAAAATGGCATGCTAATCTTGCAAGAAAGTATGTTGATCAAAGGAGGTAGTCTATAATACCATTTCCAATTCAGAGTGCAAAAGCTATCTCTTTGGGGGATTGGGGCCCCTAGATTCTGCTGCTTAAAAAAACAAAAGATATAGTATATTTATAGTGTTCTGAGCTGATTGCCCTTATATTTGTTCTGACATAGCTTTGACATAAAATGAAAAAGAAAACTCTTTAGTCAAAGCCAGAAAATTGCAATGAGAAATGTTGATCCCTGTTTATGACACTCACTTAATCCCATTCTTTTATTTCAAAATCACTGTGTGAGTTGAGGTCAAGGGAAAGGTGTGGGATACTGAGTGAAGGTAATCAGATCTCTTTTGATCAATACATATTAGTTAATACCTGAGACATCCAGTAAAATAAACTTTGAAGTATACTGTAATTCCCTCTAAAACATTTTAGGACATGATCCTAGGGAGGTGAAAGGACTATTGCTGCAGGAATAGATTACAAGTTCAGGTACTAAAAAGCGATTTCATTTTATAAATGGCACTTGGGTATTTTCATAACTTCGGGCTTAGTTTACTAATCAGAGTTCTGATGTTCCTTCCATAACTTCAATGTAATTTATGCTGAGGCAGTATCTGGGGCCCTCCTATTAATCAGGGCTTTACTGATATAGGTTCTCCCTTAGGCCAGGTGAACCTACTAACAAGGTTTTTGCCTCTCTCTGGAACCTACTCACTTAATAATGAAAATCAGCATGGTACTAATTCAACAATCCACATTTTTCTTTACTTAATGATAGATCAACATAGCTCTTTGGTGCCCTCCTCTGGCACAAATCATGACGATGGGAGGAAAACATTGGATTTTCTCAAAGATCATCTATCTACCTGAATGAGATTTTCAATGTCTGATGGAAGGTGTGGGTGTGCATGTATTTTTCCTGGACTCAAAGCCCTTGGGACCTAAGCTTACTGGAAGCAGGTGATTAGCTTGCCATCTGGTGGGAAACAGCTGATTATCAAGGATGGGGTAGAGCAGGGAAGGTGAGTACTGGAAGCTCTTGGTGCGGAAGAAGATGCCAGGAAGGAAAGTAAAGGACTGGTATTAAGACAGGGGTGGGGACTTACAGTCTGGAGGTGATTACAAAGAAAAAGATCCTGAGGCCACAAGTTGTGTGAGTAGAAGAGGGGAAAAAACCCAAACCCCAAGGGATAACAAGGAAAGCAGTGCCTTATCATTTATGGTAGAGAAGAACATTAAGAATAAAAACTGAATCAGAAAGGTTTCTCAAAACATAGTAACAAACAATAAACAAGAACCACTCAGTGATTAATCCTTTTTAAAAGGAAAAAAGACCCCATATGTAATATATGAGAGACAGATTGGCATAGTGGATAGAAGGCTGGTATTGAAGTCGGAAGGACCTGGGCTTCAGTCCTGCCTCCCAAATAGATCAGTTGTATGACCATGGGTAAGACACTTACCCTCTCAGTGTCCTAGGCAACTCTCTAGGACTACGAATCACATGGGAGTTGCCAACTGATATTAATGGAAATGGAAGTTCCCTAAACCGATGAAATAATAGGTGCTGACCAAAACAGTTTCATGTGTAGATGCTGATAAGGTCAGACGACCTTAAAATACACATCTTTCTTTAAGATCCTGATTTTCCAGTTAAGTGGTATTTATTAAGATAACTGGGAACTTAGAAGAGAAATTCTCTCTGCTTCTCTGATGAACTGGTTATGAATTATTTGACTATGTGCACAAAAGTAACACATGGTATGAATATGTATTGCACTTTTTTTTTGAAAGTACACTAAATGTGTGCCCCTCTTACAATCAATCTGAATTGCTTCCGTACCGTCTACACGTGAACATGTTTAGCGACTTGGCCTCAGACCTCTCCATTAGGTTTACTTATTCTTACTACTTTAACTAATTAGGCGCTGCTGACGGAGCTTTGGGCCCTACTAGGTCCTAGACACTGCAGTGATGCTTATGATCCCTGGAATCTGGCCTCAGTAACACATTTATTCTTTTAGGACATAGCTACTGCTAACTAGACAGAGCTAGAGCTCTCTCCAACCCTTTTCTCCCTTAAAGCTCTTCACCCAAAGAGAGACAGGTAGCCTGACAAACATCTCTGTATTTCATCATTCAAAGCCTAGGAGAAAGTTTTCTTTAGATTGAGTCAATCCTATGTGAAAAATACTAAAAAGGTAAAATACACTTTAAAGTTTATTATAATGAGCATCACGTACCTAAACTTGCATCAATTTGATACCTTTCTGCTCACTTTGCAGATGACAAATGGAGTTGCATTTCCTCCCTTATTTTCACTTATTCTGTATCTGGTAAACATTTTTTTCAGCCCTCCTTCCCCTTCCATTCCTTTCCAATCCTTATTTCTGTTTTCTCTGCTTATGGTGACCAATTCTGAAATGTTATCCATATCCTCTCCATTGCCCTGGGTTGGCCCTTTGGGATGCCAAGCTTCCCAGGTTGGTGGCTGCCAGGAAGTGCCACTTCTAGAATGGCTAATGCTGGTGGTGCAGCCAGGGGACAATCAATCTAAGTTTTCAGCAGCAAACAGTTAGCCCAAGAACCAGACACAAAAGGTGGGCTCGAGTTCCTCATCTCCACTTCCTGAAAATAATGGATAGCCTATTCACAAATCCATCACATGTCAACTATAAAGTATTCTATTTAGGCCATCATGAAGATCCAGCAGGTCATTCTGATCCTGTTGAACCTGGCCGGATGCCATCAAGCTGGGTTTTTTTTTAGCTCCTTTTTCATTCTTTTGCTGTCTGAATCACTTCCCCATTATGGATCTACTTTGGATTTTCAAGGGAGAGTCAACACTAGATCCTTTTTTCCCCCCAGAGCTTTTTCATTGTTTCAGAGACTCTTCTTGGCTCTTTTAATTAGTAGCTTTTTCTGGAAGACATGGGAAGAAAGGCTTAGAAAATTTGCCCGGGGTTGGTGATGAGGAGTGCATGACTCAGTGCTTCCACTCTTCCCTAGTTAGTCCTTAGATAATACAATTTATAATATATATATATATGTATGTATATATATATAAATCATACTTCTGGTATCCAGGTGGTACTGAGTGTGGCCTGAATAGCCCTTTAGTTTTAAAAATAAATTTGAGAAAAAAAATACAATTAAAAAAACTTTTACAAAGAATAATCTGATATGTCCTTATTGAAATAACATTATTCCCTTTCCCCTTCAAGATTATTATTGCAATCAAAAGATTATGTGAGATAATGTACTATAATAAACATAGTATGACTTACAACAGCTTCTATTTCCCCTCTGGAGTGGCACTGGGCTGTTGCATAAGTTTGTACTCTCTCAGCATTTTATACACATACTGTAACAAATTCTTTACTGCTGATTCCCAAAACTAAGGAAAAGACCCAGTTTTTCAAAATGAAGATAAAAAAGAACATGCTAGCTAATTCAATGACAAACTTATTTTTGGATAGTATAATCATAACAACCTTGGGGTTTAAGGGCATGGGAACAGCAGGGCATACCTACCCTCTACCCAACATTATAACTTAGTTTTTGTAGACATGGCTTTGTTGCCTTGGATTCATTTGGTAAAGATTTTTCAATGTCATCCAGGAGGCAGATGCTGCCTCTGCCTCAGATGGTAAGCAACCATGTCAGCTGAATTCCTCAGGCTCATCAGTGCTGCAGCAGGAAGTTGGTAGCTACATTAAGGTCATTATTTGAAGCTCTCAGGGCCTCCAGAGCATCCACCCTAGAAAATCCCATCTCCATGAGTCGGGCAACCTGAAAAAGAAAGCCATGCAAAGATATTCTTTATTGGCAGGCAAAAGACAAAAATCGACCTGTTTTTTCATAGGATAGTACTTTGATTTATTAAAAGTAATTAAAAAATCCTAACTACTCAGAAAATCATGTTTCTATAAGCTGCAAATTATACACAGGGTATTTTCCCCATTCAAGGAGAGGAAATGAGGGGAGAGGGGAAGACATATTTTAGAGGTCCTTGCAAAGAAAGGACTTTGAATTTTATACAGGTCTGCTTATAAAGGTTTAAACACAAAGGAGAATTTGTTCCAGTGTAGACAACTAACCACATTTCTTTACAAAATTTTCTTTATTTCTTTTTTTCCCCCCCTATAACGTATTACATATGTTGTTCTACCCCATTTATTACATACATGATATATAATATTCTAATCATTATAAATAATTAATTATTTAGAGTCTCAAGCCAGTCGACTAAGAAATTTAAGGCATTCTGCTAAGCAGTAGGGATACAAAGAAAGGCAAAAACAATCTTGGCCCTCAAGCAGTTCACATTCTAACGATGGCATGGGGTGACAATGACCAAACAACTATGTACATACAAGATATATACAGGGTAGATGTAAAGTAATCTCAGAGGGAAGGGAGTGGGAGGAGAAGGACCAGGAAAGACTTCTTGCAGAAGGCAGGCTGGGATTTGAATGAAGCCAGGAAGCCAGGAGGTGAAGGTGAGGAGGGAGAGCACTGCAGGCATGGGAGGGCAGCCAGTGAAAATGCAGGTAGGTGTTGGAATGTCTTGTATGAAGAATAGCAAGGACACCAGTGTCACTGGATCATAGAGTCCATGAAGATGTATAAAGTGCAAAAAGACTGGAAAGATGGGGAAAGGCTAGGTTATAAAAGGCTGTAAAAGCCAAACAGAGGATTTTATATTTGACTTGGGGGTCATATAAATAGCTCACTATAATCAATTCATTCCAGAATGTGTCTGAAATACTGTACTTTTGCAGAATGATAGAAAAAAATGATCACAAATAGGCAATATTTCCATCTTTTCTGCTCTGTCTTCACTTGCTTTCACACCCAGCCTTGACAATGTGGTCTGTCATTGCAATGTTCCATTACCTACCACCCTAGAATCACTTGCTTCCTAGATGTTCCATAGTTCCTAACCTATGAATCTTGTTCCCTGGGAAACTACAACAGTCCAATTCCTCCTCTCAGCCTCCTGGGCTGCTGAATGTTACTGGAGAAAGCCATAGATTCTTCTTATTACTTTCACCAGAGATTCACAGCAAAGACATAAAAACAGAAAACAACAGATCTCCACTCCACCCCCCCCCGATGTTACAGTCTAATATGGGAGATATAATTTGTACACAAACAAATATGATTCAAGAAGGATGCCATATGCAAAGTAGATGTGGGGAAAAAAAAGCACTGACATACATAGGTTTGCTTTCATTAAGATTCAGCTGTACACAGTAGTAGTTGGTATGTATTAAAAATTCTAGTCACCTTAATGTTCCCTTGCTGAGAGTAAGCTTCTGTTAGCTTAGGTTTACGAGCTATACTATGGTGTTAAAGGTCCCACGCTTGAGATATAAGAAATTTAAATAGCAGAATAACAATGCCAAGTAGCCACTAAATGGACATGTAGGCAAAGCAGAAATGAGGGATACCAGGAAATGACACTTGAACTTGACACATGACAGAGAAGTTGACTTTGGAAGATCATCACACTTGAAAGTCCACAAGGGTTTTATTAGTGATAAAACTTGTCTCAGAACTTGTTTCCTTAGATCAAGGTCATCTCTCATCATTCACTTCCAAAGCTCATTCACTCTCCTTATTTTTGTAATCTTTACCGGACATTCATCCAATAACATTTATTGAGTTTCTGTTGTCTTTTGGTGACAAAAGATGCCATTCTGAAAAACTGATTAGTGACTTTTCCATGTATTTCTAATGAAAGATGATTTATATCCATCCTCTTTCTCCACTTACAAGACTGCTACCCTAGTTCAGGCTGTCATCACCTCTTGCCTAGACTCTTGAAATAGCCTGTCCTGATTCAGTCTCTTGCCCCTAAGTCTTTGCCCTCTCTGCGCCATCCTTGGTACAGTTCCTAAGTGAAATTCCTGAAATGTAGGTCTGGCCATGTCATTTTGCTCCCTCTTGTCTTTAGGATCAAACACAAACTCTTCTGGTTGGCATTAAAAATCTTCCATGATGTGGCGCCAGTTGGCATTTCCAAGTTTACTACTACATGTTACTTCCCTTCATACATTCCACCTTTTGAGTCAAACTTACCTACTTGCTGTGTTTCAATCACATTTCACGTCCTACCTCTGGGTCTTTACATAGGTATGTCTCCCACCTGGATGACAATTCTTTTTGAATTCCCCCCTTCCCTCAAAACTCAGCTCAAGTGCAACCTCCTACATGAGGTCTTTTCTGATTTCCCCCAGCCACTAGTACCCTTATCTTGAAATTACCTTGTATTTACCTTGAGCATATTTTATGTATATTTTGCATTTATGTATATTTTATGTGGATGGCTAAGATGGCACAGTGGATAGAATTTTGGACTAGGAGTTAGGAATACCTGAGTTCAAATCTGGCCTCAGACGCTTCATAGCTGTGTGACCCTGGGCAAGTCACTTAACCCTATTTGCCTCAGCTTTTCCATCTGAAAAATGAGCTGGAGAAGGAAATGGCAAACCACTCCAGTATCTTTGCCTAGAAAACTACAAAAGGGTCACAAAGATCAGACATGACTGAAAATAACTAAACAACAACATATCTTATGTACTTATATATATGTACATGTTGTTTCCTATGATAGATTACAGAATCCTCGAGAGCAAGAGCTGTTTCACTTTTAGCTTTGAATGCTTAGCACCCACCAACTCTGCCTAAGAAAATTAACCTTTGTAAGAGGACCACTAAAAGTAAGACTTTTAAAAGTCTTCTGCTGCCTCAGTAGCTCATGAATATACCATACTTTTTATTTTGGTTACTTCTTGAATATATCCAATTTTGATTGTTTTTATTTACTGAAAAAAAGTAAACGTGTTCAGATAGTCTCAGTCAAAAAACAAGTTTGTCAGCTTGAGATATACAAGGAGGATTCAATAAAAGACTATACTAATTTCTTTTTTCCAAATGTGCAACTATTTCCTGTCTTTTCATTTTGGCCACTGATATCATGGCAACAGAAAATACATCTGTTACCTTATCAGCTAAAATTGCAATGTGTTATAAATGACTAAAATGGTAATTTTATTGAAACAACGGATTGGTACTAAAGGCCCCATCCCACAAGATCTAACTTGAAAATAAAGGGAAATTTTTAATAAAAAAATACAAATCTATTTCATTGGAAGAAATATATCAAAGCATTGTTTTAAATCAATGTCAAAGGAATGTATTAAGGATAAAATGAAACAGTTCGCAAAACACTTTGAATTTCCCAACAATTGCGTATTATGTATACAATTTTTGGATTTAACAACAGTTAAATACAAAGGTGAATGCTGTGTATTCCCAAGATGCATAGTATTGACTGGACTTAATATAGCCTACTTAAAAATCTGGAAATTCCCAAAAACCAATCTCATAAATACTTAACTACATACAGCAGTCTTACTTCATTTACAAGCACGCTGAGCACTTACTACTTCCAGTTATGCACTAGAGGGACTCCTCTCTAAAAATTCTTATCACATGAACTTCCTTTTTTAAAATATGATAAAAAGCTTTTGGTATATGAAAATATCTTTTTTTAGATCATTTTAGCAAAACCTACCATTGTTTATCAAATGTCTAGGGGCCCATGATTAATGCTGTGTTTATTTAAATGTTTTCCCCACTCTCTTTCATTAAAAAAAAAAAAAATCCAGTCATTGCATTTAAACATGTCCAACTCCTGTCTTCCAAGGCAGATATCCAGTTCAGAAAGAGATAAGAAACCAGACTTGAAGGATGTGAGGGAAGAACCTGGATACTGTTGTAACACTAAATTCTACCTTTACAGACAAAAACCTAGAGATGAAAACACAGCGGCAGAAATATCTGGGTGCTCCACAGGGAGCCCGCTGAGACAACCCCAGCAGCTTTTCATCCATGCACACCTCAGCCACAGGTGTTCAATACACCCCCTGCAGGAGCCAGTAAAGATCAGCTCTGGGGTTCAGTGGCTCTAGGTAGGCGCAATCTCCCCAGAACAGGTGCTTTTACAGCAGCAGTATTAGTGACATTTGAAAAGGTTCCAGGAGAGAACAAGATGAAATCGGTGCTGCTCACAACATGTTTCACAAAGAAAGGGACCACACTGGAAGGGTTCGAGAGACACAGAGACACGGACACAAATCCACGCCAGGGGTCTGTCTGTTTTTAACCCATTTTTATGTGAAGTGAAACGGTCTCCTGATTATTTCTTAACAAGACTCTAACGTGATGGTTTTCCAAAGGGATCCTGTTTGTGCTGCTGTTCTACCGTTTGAATTTAACCTTTCCTCCCGCCTTGCTTTTCTGTACAAGCCTGAAAACTTCTAATGAAGATTCCCTGTCTTTTTTTTTTTTTTTCCCCCAAATCAGCTTGTGGTTTGTCTAGCTTCCCTTTAGCTAAGTGCGTCAAACACCAGTGTGTTTTTAGGGTTCTTACTTCTCCAATTTCTATGCATGCAGAGGCCGGTGCTGCCTTTCTACCTGACTCTACTACCTCCAACCTCAGTCCATTTTGTGCCTTCCATTAACGTCAGACAAATTCCCAGGTTCATCTACGTGGAACAACTTTTGGAACCTTCCATGGCAATTATCTGGTCTCTCTGAAAACTTTGGTTACTTCTCCCTTTCCTCTGTTATTCCTGCTACATGTTCATTCAGACTGGTAGCGTTTCCCTACTTGCCAACACCCTGGGATCACTGCTGATGCAAGAATGACGTGCACCACGTTCCATGTGATTCGGTCCGTTCTCTGAACTCCTACGGCACCATATGTTTTGGTCTCACAG